TTCTCTTGGTGAGAGTAATTAATTAAATCTGAATCTCTTTATTGAAGACTAATTTATTGTATTTATAGCCTTGGGATACGTGCCCAATACTAGGTTAATTGGTAAACCTAGGTCTGATTGGGCTTACCTCGATAATCGGGCCAGTGGTGACCGTTTTCCAGGTTGGCAGATTATGGGCCACATGGCGTGGCCTGATTAGTCTATGTTGGACCTCTCAGGGTGACAAGTGGCGGACCCTGATTGGCCCACGTGGTGGACACGTGGCAGGTCCGGATTGGTCCATTTGTCATGGGTAATTTTACCCTAATCACACCTTACTTAGCTCCATAGGTATGGCCAACCTATAAGCTATGTTACCTATCCTCTATAATATCTCATATGGTCCAATATACTTTGGGATAATTTTCCCTTTCTTCCCAAATCTCATAACACCTTTCATTGGCGACACTTTCAACAATACTTTATCACCAACTTCAAACTCTTCTTCCTTACGCTTTAAATCTGCATAACTCTTTTAACGATCTTGTGCTGCTTGAATCTTAACTTGAATCTCCTTCACTTGCTTGACTGTATCTTCAATCATTTGAGGCCCTAAGATCATTGTTTCTCTTATGTCGTTCCAACATACCGGGCTACGACACTTTCTTCCATATAATGCCTCAAATGGAGTCATACCAATACTCGCATGGTAGCTATTATTATAAGAAAATTCAATTAAGTCCAAGTTATCTTTCCATCCCGCTTGGAAGTCTATGACACAAGCTCTCAACATATCTTCCAAGGTTTGAATAGTTCGCTTAGTTTTTCCATCTGTGGCAGGGTGAAATGTTGTACTCATCTTTAGTGTTGTACCAAAGTTTTCCTGGACACTCTTCCAGAACTTTGAAAGAAACCTAGAATCTCTATCAGATACAATATCTTTTGGAACTCCATGTAACCTCACAACATTCTTGATGTAAGCTTTTGCAAGTTGCTCTATCTTCCAAGTCTCCTTCATTGGTATGAACACTGCAGATTTGGTAAGTTTATCCACCACGACCCAAATGGTATCATTTCTACTCTTTGACTTTGGGAGGCAAGTTACAAATTCCATCGAAATACAATCCCACTTCCATATAGGGACTTCTAATGATTGCATGGTTCCTTAAGGTCTCTTGTGCTCTATTTTCACCTTTTGACAGGTTAAACATTTTGCTACAAATTCTGCAACTTCATTCTTCATTCTAGGCCACCAATACATCTTTTTCAAGTCTTTGTATAGCTTGTCCCCTCTAGGGTGTACAGAGTATGGTGTATTGTGTCCTTCCTCCATCAATTTTCTCTTTACTTCCTCACATTTTTGTGGTACACACCATCTACCTTTGTACCTTAAACTCCCATCTTCATGAATTTTGAAATCTGCAGCTTTTCCTTGCTTTATTTTCTCACGAATCCTATCCAACTTTACATCTCTTGCCTGATTTTCCCTTATCTCATCAAAAATTGTTGGTTGAATGCTTAGATTTGCAAGTATACCTGATGGTACTCCCTATTCCACCACTTCTAGGTTCATTTTACTCATTTCCCAACACAATTCATCAGCCACTATCAAAGTGTTCAGTCCATGACTGGTTTTAAGACTTAGAGCGTCTGCAACTACATTTGCCTTCGCTTCATGGTATTGTATGTCCAAGTAGTAGTCCGTTACAAATTCTAACCATCTTCTTTGGCGTGAGTTTAGATCTCTTTAGGTAAAAATGTACTTCAAACTTTTATGGTCGGTATAAATTCTACATTTCACCCCATTCAAGTAATGCCTCCAAATCTTTAGTGCAAAAATGATTGCAGCTAATTCTAAATCATGAGTAGGGTAGTTTACTTCATGAGGTTTTAACTGTCTCGATGCTTATGCAATCACCTTTCCATTTTGCATAAGTATACATCCCAAACCATTTTTGGATGCATCACTATACAGATCGTAGATTCCACTATCATCTGACAATGTTAACACTGGTGCTGTAATCAATTTTTGTTTCAACAGTTGAAACGCTTCATCATACTTCTCATCCATTCAAACTTTTTGTCCTTCTTCATTAAAGAGGTCATAGGCTTAGCAATCTTAGAAAAGTCCTTCACAAAACGCCTATAATACCCTGCTAAACCTAAGAAAATCCTAATGTCAGACACCGTCTTTGGCGTAGGTCATCCCTTCACTGCCTCAATCTTTGCTGGATCTACTTTTACCCCATCCTTGGATAAAAAGTGACCCAGAAATGCTACCTTCTCTAACCAAAACCCACACTTGGAAAACTTTGCATAGAGCTTGTTCTCCTTTAAAGTTTGTAAAACTGCCCTCAAATGTTCCACATGTTCCACCTTATTCTTCGAATACACCAATATATCATCTATAAACACTACACAAACTTGTCCATAAATGGATGGAACACCCTATTTATCAAGTCCATAAAGATAGCTGGAGAGTTCGTCAATCCAAATGGCATCACTGTGAACTCATAATGTCCATATATTGTTCTAAATTTAGTCTTGGGAATATCCTCATCTGCAATCCTTAACTGATGGTATCCAGACCTTAAATCAATCTTGGAAAACACAGATGCGCCCCTTAATTGGTCAAATATGTCATCAATCCTTGGTAATGGGTACTTGTTATTTATGGTGACCTTATTCAACTCCCTATAGTCAGTACATAATCTCGTACTTCCTACCTTTTTCTTAACAAACAACACTAGAGCTCGCCTAGGCGATGCACTTGGTCTAATGTACCCCTTTTCTAATAAATCTTGCAGTTGCTCCTTTAACTCACTCATTTCTGCAGGTGCCATTCGATATGGTGCCTTGGAAATTGGTGTTGTCCCTGGGACCAACTCTATTGTGAAATCAATTGCCCTCTTAGGTGGCATTCCTGGAATCTCTTCTGGGAACACATCCAAAAACTCATTCACCACTTCTATGTTCTCAGGCTTAGCTGTCTCTTCGTGTTCCAAGTTCCTTACACTAAAAAAATATACCAGATGTCCCTTCTTAATATACTTAGCCAACTTCATCATTGAGATGATCCTTGGACACTTTGCTTCTCCATGCTTCCAATGTGTTACCAATTCCCCCTCAGCTGTACTTAACTGCACTTTCTACGATCGAAAACGAATCTCCGCACTATACTTGCTCAACCAATCCATTCCCAAGATGATATCAAAGTCACTCAACCCAAATTCAATGAGGTTAGACAAAAACACCTTTTCTTTGATCTCTAATGGCACATCCCTAAAGGTTTTGGTACACTGTACTACCCCTCCCGTAGGAATAAGGTACTATGACATCTACGGTTTTCAAACAACGCAATAGCTTTGAAACAATGGCCTTTGAAATGAAAGAAAAAGTTGCACCAAAATCAAACAAAATTTTCACAAGAAAAGAGTTAATAGAAAAATTACCAGTAATAACATCCTTTGTAGTGTCAGCTTCATGCCTACTTATCACATTCAATTTTCTTGGAGCTCCACTCTTCACCTGACCATTCCCATTAGTGTTGCCTTTCACCCCGTTTTGTTGTGCCCCTTTGTTCCTTGCATAGTTGTTGTTTCCTTGAAAATTCCTTTGAGCCCTTCCTTGATTACACTACTAGAAATAGGCCGTTTTACGACGGAATCATTCCGACGGACCTAAATTCCGTCGGAAAATTCGAACTTTCCGACAGAATTTTGGTCTGTCAGAAATATCCGTTGGAAAAGATAAGTTCCGAGGGAAATTCCCTCGGAAATATTCCGACGGATTTTTTTCCCCTAGGAATTTACTTCTTCCGACGGAAAATTCTGTAGCTAGTTGAAAATTCCGAGGGAAAATAAATCCCTCGGAACATAATTATTTCCTACGGATTAATTCCGTCGGTAGATTGCAACGGATTGTACCCCTTTCCGACGGATTTTTAATTAAAAAAAAAAACAAAACAAAAAAGAAACAAAAAAAGGCGGATCTTTCTTTGTCCTCCACTCCCTCCTGACCTCCTCCTTTTCTTTTTCTCTTTCTCCTCTCCTTTTCCCCTTTCTCTCTCTTCTCCTACCTCCTCCCCCATCATATCTCTCTCCTCCTCCCTCCTTCCCCTTAGTTTCTCTTTTCTCCTCCCTCATTCCCCTTAGTTTCTCTCTCCTCCTCCCTCCTTCCCCTTCGTTTCTCTCACCTCCTCCCTCCATCCCCTTAGTTTCTCTCTCCTCCTCCCTCCTTCCCCTTCGTTTCTTTGTCCTCCATCGCAACCACCACTGCCCAACGAAGCCGCCACCACCGCCGGTGCGCAACAACACACCACCACCCGGTTTTTCATGTTAAATTCGACCATGAAAACCCTAGATCTAGAGTTTTCATGGTCGAATTTGACCTTTAAAACCCAAATTCAAGCTAATTTAGGGGTTTTGAAGGAATTCAAGGTAAGTGGTCGAATTATTATTTCGTTTAATTTTCCTTTTTTGGGATTTTTGATGTTTAATTTTTGTAGATCTAATTTTAGATGTTTATTTTTCATTTGATTTTCAGTTTTTTTTGTTTTTCGATGTTTAATTTTCGTTTTTTTTTTCTTTTTTGATGTTTAATTTTTTTTGGGATTTTTTGGGGTTAATTGTGTATGTTGTTTGCGTAGTGGTGTGGTGGTGTCGGTGGTGGTGGGGGCTGGTGTATTGTGGTGGTGTTTAGGGTGGGTGGGATTGTGGTGGTGTTTGGTGTGGGTAGGATTGTGGTGGTAGTTTCGGTGGGGTTTGGTGTGGGTCGTGGTGTTGCGGCGTCGTTGGTGGGTTAGGGGTGGCTGTGGGGAGGATTGGGGTGTTGAGCAGGGGAGGGGGGAGGTGGTGGATCTGGGTGGGTGGTCTGAATTTTTTTTTACCCATTTTTCCGTCGGAAGAGAAGGTCCTTCCTACGGAATATTCCGTCGGAAGCCATGGTTCTTCCTACGGAATTACGTCCGTCGGAACCTTGCGATGGACTTCCATTTCAGGTCAAACGTAGGCTCCGACAATTTAAATTCCGTCGGTAGGGCCTTTTCCAACGGAAAATCCCTCGGTATAAGCCAAAATTCCGACAAAGTGATCTCCGACAACGTGTTCTGACGGAATTCCGTCGGAAATGGCTATTTCCAACGGAATTAGACGTTGTACCGACGGATTTTTTCCGTCGTAAATAAGGTGTTTTCTTGTAGTGTTATTATCCTTCTTGTTTCGGTTAGACTCTTTGAAGAAGCACTCATACTCCCTATGTCCCAACTTGTTGCAAGCGCGACAAGTAACTAAGTTACCCTCACAGTCTTTACCAGGGTGATTATTTCTGCACCTCTTACAGAAATAACGTCTTCCATCCTTATTGTTTCCCTGGTTAGAGTTCTTAAGCCCTCCACTGAAATTTCGTCCACCTTGACGATTGTTATTGTGGAAGTTATTGTTGATGTAGAAGTTTTTGTTGTTGTGGTGGTATTTCTACTTCTTAAAAATGTTCTGGTTACCTTGAGGGTTTCCAGAGTTCTGTCCAATATCTTTTCTCTTTTCCTTTCCTTCCACCTCAGCTAATTCCTTCTTTTTCTTCAACTCCAAAGCATAAAGGTGTACAGACCTTCCATAAACTTCATCCAAGGTTTCGAACACTTGTCCACACAGCTTTAGTTGAAGATCAGTGGTCAATCCACTCTGAAACTTCCTAGCTTTCGCCTTTTCTGTAGCAACAGACTCTTTGGCAAACCTTGACAGCTCAATAAACTTGGTATAATAATCAGTAACTGACATATCTCCCATTGTTGGGTTCGAAAATTCCTCAGCTTTCTGTTTTTGTAGGAAACTGGGGTGAAACTTGTCCCTAACCTTCTCTTGAAACATAGTCCAATTAAAACCAGGTAGTGCCTTGATGGTAGCCTCATTTTGTTGCCACCAAAGGTCAGTTTCTTCCCTGAGATAATAGGTAGCACAACCCACCTTTGAATTTTCTGGACATCCTAGTGCCCTAAATAGTTTCTCAAACTCCCTTAACCAATTTCCTAACACTGTTGGGTCTGGTTCGCCTTGATAGGTTGATGGCTTGCTTGCGCCACCTTTTTGAACAACTCCCCCTGAGCATCCCCATTGATGGTCGAGTTTCTTGCTAACTGTTGGGCGACCACTGCCAACTGCCCTACAACCTCACTCAACTCACCTCCTTCATTATTGTTCCTACTTCCTCCTGCCATCTTTCTTCTTCTGAATTAAAACAAGGGGTCTTTATTATGTATGGTCATGGTTAGCTCTCAAATTAGACACCCATCTAACTAACTTATACCATTCATATACACACATATTTAATTTAAACTAACAAATTGAGGTTGTAAAATTACAACTTCCAAATTTTGCAGCTTGATCAACCAAATTTTGATTGCTAACCAACCATGCATTTAATAAAGCATCACAATAATAAATAAAAATAATTCCCATGGTTCCCCAGAGTTTAGAAATGAATTATTGGAATATTTGAGTAAGAAATGACTCATTGGAGTAGTGATATGAAATGAATGATTTGGAAATATAATGAATTATTTGGCAATAAAATGAATTATATAGCAAAGAAATGAAAATAAATTTTATTGCTGAAAAAGAAAATGGCTGGAATATAAAATGAAATGAGTTCGAATAACCTACGCAAATCAATAGGTTTATTGACTCATTGTGGCCATGCCACATATTACTTTGCTGAAAAAAAAATGAAATAACTATAACTGCGGAAATGAAACTAAGAATCCTAAAAGAAATGAAACTACAAAAATCTAGTCCTTTTGAACATTATCCTTCTTGTCCTTTGATTGTTTGTAGCTTCCAGGATCGAATTTAGGGTCATCTTCCTCCTCCATTGGTTCAGGTGTTTCTGGATTTTACTCTACTTGAATAAACTCTTCATCTTCCTCATCGTCATATGAAATGTCAATAATGATTGGAGTTGGGGGTGGATTTGGATTCGAGATTTCCATAATAGAACTATATATCAACAGTATGGTTACTCTCATCCATTAGCTCTCCTTCCTCTTGCCCTCCATTTGCTCCTGCTTGATTACCCTGTGGTGGAGAAGAATTTCTTGATTAATTACTAGTGGAAGGGGAATTTTTTTCCTACTGGATTATCATAGTAATAATTTGGATATGGAATATGTAAACGTTCACTGTGATATTTCTCAACTAGAACGAGGTAAGAAATCAAGTATCTGTAATCAGGGTACCACTGTCCATAATAGTCTTTATATTAGGAGTAGTTAGGAATGTCCCAGGCAAGTAGAAATCAGCAAATTTTGCTTTTACAACAAGATATGGGGGTTCGTCAAGAAGATAGTGAATTATCATGGCTGAAACACGATCAGGTAGATCATACTGCTTGTCTCGTAGGACATCATCACTCAAATGTGAACAATAAAAGCGGATTTTCTTGACATAGTCAAAGGGATGTTCATAGTCTTTCTTAATTACGGTTCCAATTTGAGAGTTTTTGTTAGGAAAGATCGGCATCCTGTAAAGGAAAAGACTTAGAAAAAAATTCCCTTCCCAAAGAAAAATAAAATAACACAGTTCTTGCATGAATTTAGGTTCAATGTTCAATCAAACAATCTTCTTATTTAATTTCTAACCACATAATTACATGCTTCGACATCATTCAACTCATATGATCAAACATCACAACTTAAATATTAATGCATACAAGAACATGAATAATTCGAACTTATATGCCCCAAATTCTTTCCTACCCATGGTCACAAACATGATTTTAAAACTCTTAACACATAATTCTTACCTTAATCCTTCACTTTCCTGCAAAATGAACAAACTAAAAATATTTTTGACTCCTCTTTTCCTCTTTTTTTTTTTAAAAAAAAATAAATAATTCCGTAAAGGCCAAAATTTTCGGCCAATCATAAAAAATAATTGGACACCCCCTTTTTTTAAAAAAAATAAAAATTCAGACCTATTAAAAAAATAAAAAAATATTTTCAGTCCTTTACAAAAAATAAAATCAAAAATAAATCATATAGAATAAAATAAAGCAACTTACTTTGTAAAATACTCATTAATTAAACACTTGGCCAAGTTTAAAACAAAATATTTTAAAACACGTTTTTGGCTTTAGTGGTAATAAATATCTCAACCAAAGCTCCCATGTACAATTTTGTAACACCCTAGAAATTCCTTTCCTTTAAAATACCTGTTTTGCTCTTTTAAAAATACGAAATAGGAAAATCCAAGACATTACCGCCATCGTGAAAACGGCTAAGACAATTATCAAAGACACACAGGGGAATACTCTCTTTAAAAACCATTCAAAACAAGTCAACTTAAAAAGTCAAACCAAACAAAAGTAAAGTCAAACCAAAGTCAAAAGAAGTCAAATAAAATCAACCTACAACTTGGAACCATTGTAGGCCCTTATCAAAACCCAAAACGAATAATAAAACCTTTGCGTTAGTCTCACAAGCAAATATATATAAGAATCAAAGCAAATAAAACACATCATATTCTTATGGAAACAAAATAAGGTTCGCTCTTCACTCTTGCCCATCATGAATATGTTTCATCACCTGAAAAGGTTCTCTTTACTTTGTTCCCAATACTCGTCATTAGAAATGGGTCGTCGTAGGGCCAAGATAAAGACAAGGCCAAACAAACATACAAACACACAATTAGCAATGCTGAGTACATAAGCGTAAACAGTACACACTAACATGCTTTCATCCTATCAACACACAACTTACCTTGTTGCACATGTTTACAAGCATACAACATAAAACATAACCAACCAATAAATAAATAAATTGCTTATTTAATTTGATTACGCATCAAACGGGTTTACGCCTAACCTGCCCCAATAAAAGGGTACTAACACGGGAGCTAACCGTGCCAGTATAAAAGAACCATTCATAAGTGGCGGAATTCCTGCGCATAATAAAAAGGAAAATACAGTGTCTTGTACTCCAAGTAGAAGCTACATATGGTTAAATATAAAACCCCATAACTCCCCTCATATGTTCATACTTGAGGTATATACGTTCCAAGAGTTTTGGTGCGTAATATCTTTCACTTTACGCTGTTTACATATTTTAGACTTGGTGATGACTCTCAATCCACAACACAATCAATCATCATCAATCATTCAAGCAATCAAACATACCAATTTAATTCTTGAATAATTAGTGACCACATTTAATTTAATGTTAAACCCTTTTTAAACTACGTCGGCGTTAAATAACACCTTAAGCGCATAATGCACCAAAATATAAATAAATCCTCGTGTACATAGGCACTTAAATAGCTATTTTCCCATGCTTATAACATCAATAAAAATTATGTGAACCATAATAAAATTCCCTTTCAATATTCCAAACTTAATTAAACATTTAGTTTAATTAAACATGCTCTCAATCATGCCAGTAATAAAAGTGTGGCTCATAATCAACATGCCAACATGATTAATTCCAATCAACAATTCACCTCAAATAATTCATACTTCACAAATCAATCACCAAATCAATCCTATTAACAATTCCAACCAATACCTATCATGATACCGCCCTAGCATGCTTTTACACACTTAAATAATTACCGAGTACGCGAACTTACCTCGAATATGATCTAAAAATCGCCACGACTACACAAAATCACTAACTTGGAAGTCTCCTTTGTGTATTCTCCACCTTGGGCAAAGTTTAATTTGCCCATAAGATGGATATTTATACACTCTCTCAAACCCTCCAACTTTATATTCCCTTTCTACCCTTAATGATTCCTACTCCTATTCCAAATGACATTTGACTTTATTTAAAACTCCATTTGATTAGGGGATTTTTGCCCTGCCGCATGGACCAATCTGGTTCTGCCACGTGTCCTCCATATGGACCAGTCAGGACCATCCACGTGGACCAACCAGAGTCCGCCACGTGTCACTAAGTGAAGAGTCCAAAGTGGACCAATCAGGACATGACACGTGGCAGACAGATTGCCAACTTGGACAAGCAGCCTTCCAAGGCCCAAACTCCAAGGAAGCCAAGTCAAACCTAGGTTTTCCGTAAACCTAGAACTGACAAGTATTACGAGATCCTATATAAGGGAGATGTTCCCCACTGGGGAACGGGGTTTAAAAAATATATATATATATATAAAACACACGTGTACATTAATTGTTAAGCATTAACTCCAGCTTTAGTTGCACTTCTTGATAGCTAAGGCTCGGATTTCGAGGTTGTCTAAGATAGTTGGATGATCACTTCTCTTCTAAGAGGAGCCTAATCCCTTTTACTTTTCGCATTTTTAACATCCGAACACGCTCTAACTTGATTGTCGGAGGCGAAACTCCTACCACTCAGAGTCTCCGTTGTTTTGCAGGTACAGGCGTACGGATCCAATCTTGGAATTGTAACTCTCCCGTAGGACACGGAAAAGACCCCGAAACAATTGGCGCCGTCTGTGGGGAGAGTACTTCTAAGATGGCTTTACAAGAACCTGTACCGCCTCCTAATGAGAAGCGGCCTATGGCCGATGCACAGGTCTATACGGACCAAGACACTGATGACAATTTTGAGGTTGAAACATATGTGGCTGTCGACGGTGCACTGAGAACAAGATGCACTCGTCCCATAGAAAGAAGGAAACGGGACAATGATCAAGCAGGTCCTAGCAAACCAGCCGGCGTCAACCCCAAGCGGCTGAAGGCGCAACCCTAGTCACCAGAAACGAGCTCATGACAAATTTCAAAGGGGAGATTAAGGACCTAATTGATAAATAGACGGTTGTCTCCACCACGGAACAATTGGCCAAAAAGTCCTCCCAGTCTGAGAGGAACAAGCCGGTCAAGGGCTGAGAGGCTACTCCTTACCCTAAACCTAAGGAGAGACAATCGCCCTTAATCAATTTAACCAAATACCGATTCCCTGAGCCAGGGAAGAAGAACGCCATCCGGCATGTTCAGTCGGATGGTTCAAAGAAAACTTATTCTGATGCTCGGATGTTAATTCAGCAGAAGAAGAACATACAACTGTCAGAGTCGGCTTCAATGTCGAACTTGCAAGACAGCTTTTAGAATACCTCAATGAGGTATTCACAATCAAACCGAGAGAACCAGACAGGCGGCATGTCCGCCCACTCTAGTCCTCAGATGCTCTATGCGGCCCCGTATGCGCCTCAACAGCCATACATGCCGTATGGACAACCTTACATACAG